GGGGGTCTCGCGCCCCCTGTCACTGCCAGGCAGCGCTGGCCGTGGCTCATCGAGCGCCGAGGGCCCCGGGGGGCCGGGAGGGCGCACACGCCCCATGTTCCCCCTCATTAGGCGGCTCAGGGGGAGACGTGCGAGGCCATGCTCCCCGGGGGGCTCGGGGACACGGCTGCTGTCACCTGAGTAACCAGCCCCGATCGATGCCCACTTCCCGCATCCCGCAGGGCCTATAATTGAGTGGGAGGGAGGAGCCGGAGGGCGAGGGGCCGTGGGGACGATCCAGCCTAGCCAGAGAGGTGCTGGATCAGGGCCTCAGCGCCAGGCGGTGGGCAGGGGCCATGGCACTGCTGCGGGCTGCGTGCGCTGGGCCTACGTAGGCCCTGGCTGCCCCCAACCCAGGGACGCGGCTGGAGCATCCCTCTCCTGCCCAAGAGCACGCACACGTGTACGTGTGGGTCTCTGCTGGCCCGACAGGGCATGGAGGGGTGCATGTGCCACACAGAGGTGACATCTCTGACCCCTTCCCCCCTTCCCGACGTCAGTGCCTCCCCACAAGACCCCTTGCCCTGCGTGTGGGGACACCCCAGCCCTGCCGGGGATGCCGTGGCCTGGCTGGGATTCCAGCCGTAGCCAGGGCACCTGTGTGGGTGGCTCTGCCCCCAACCTTGGGGGCTGGCGTGCGTCACTTCACACCTCTTGCTCGCTCAGCCTGCCCTAGCCCCGCAGCTTGCTGGTCTTCAGTCCTGGGGGGCCACGGCCCCGACCTCCCTCCTGTCCTGGTGTCACAGGGACAGGATCCACGGGGCTCCAGCAGGGAGGCCAGATGTGGGGCAGCAGCTTGCGCTGACCCTGCGCAATGGGTCCACCCCAACACCTGCCTGGGGTGGTTCTGGGCACCCCTGGGACCCTCTTTTAGCATTGACTCCCCCCTTGTGGAGCTGGGGGGTCCCAGGGCAGACCCAGGACCCAGGGCAGGGGAGGGACAGGGCTCTCACTGGGGCCAGGAGGGTGCTGGATTTGGCTCCTCCACCTTCCCCCAGGCCCAAGGGGTGTCCTGCCCGAGCCGGACCCTGGTCCTGCTGCCTTGCAGTGTGTGCTGAAGAGAGGTAGGGTGTGTCTGGCTCCTCCGCTCCCTAAATCTTGTGCTGGAGGCCTCCAAGGGCTGGGGCTCCATCCCCAGCCGGTCCCCAGGGTCCAGCAGCTCTGGGCCCTGCTCTGTGGATACCTGCTTGGGAGGTCAACCCTGATTTGGACATCCCTAGAAGCCTTCAATCAAAGCCCATGGGGCATCTGTGCACCCAACCCGTAGGGATCTCGCCCCGAGGGGGTCACTTACCCCCGTCACACTGTGGGGTGGGCTGCAGGAGTCCTGCTTGGGATCTGACTGCTCGGGGACACCGGGCTTGCCAGGATGACACCAACCCAGCCAGAATCGCCAGTGTGGGGTGGGAGCAGGGCAAGGCCTGTGGTGGGGCACAGGGAGACCCTGCTCGGGGTGCTGCCTGGGGAGCAGCCCCAGGCTGAATCGCCTGCTGGGGGTCACACAGGAACACATGGGCAGCCCAGAACTACAGCTTCCCCCCTGCTCCCAGGCTCACCTGGCCACATGGGATTTGTCCTCTGCCCCTAAAGCCCCAGTTCCCAGAGTCCCAGGACTGCCTGAATTTCTCAGCTCGGGGGTGGGGGGTAGGTTGATTTCTGACCGTCCAGCACGAGGATTTGGGTTTCCATAGGCATCGCATCACGCTGGGCACAGGCCACAGTACAGCTGGTCCCCCGCAAGCTCAGACCAGCAGCACGTGCTCAGCTGCCGGCCCCCTCTGCAGCCCCAGCCGGTTCTGCTAACGAAGCTGTTTTTAATTGTCACCTTTGTGGAACAAAGCTGGGCTCCTTCCCTCCGAAGGCGTCTCTCTCGCAGCCCAGCTATTGATCCCTGGGAAGAAAAGGCAGAGCGCACTGGGCCTCAGCTTGCTGCCTTCTGCCCGAGTGCTTTGCACAGCTCCTCCAGGGAGATTTGAGGGGCCACAGGGGTTGCTGGGTCCCTGGGCCACCCCACAGCTGCCTCCTACAGCCCAGCGATCCCATACAACTACCCCTTCGAGCACAGACAAAAGCTGCAGTAGAACATCTAGAAGGGTGTTGGCATCTCAGGGCATGGTGGGTTTTGCTCTCTGCAAGGGGCACTGTGGGGATCCTCAAAGCCCATCAACCACAGTTGCCTGGCAGGCTAATGAAGCATATGCTGTTAGCAAATAGTTTTGACGCAAAAGCCTGGCCTGAGATTATCTGAAGCCGGTTAGGGATTCCCTAGTGCCTAGGGCATGGCAGTGCGAAGCCCAGCTGGGAGCGAGAGGGGCAGAAATCAGCCTGGGGCAGCTCTTCCACCACTGAAGCTAGAGGACATGACGGGGCAGTGACCGGCTGAGTCCTGGGGCACAGGGGATATCGTGAGATGCTTTGGGAGCTCCCGAACTCCTCTCTCTCCAGTTTGGATGCAATGGATGCTGCTGCCACGAAGCCATGTCATCTCATCCTTTTTAGAGATCCCTGTAATTGCAAGTGCCAATTAAAGGCAGTAATGGGGCTCGGGGTGGCTGTTGCATTCATTCGTGTCTCGCTTTTTAGTAAGTGTCACCTGCTTTGATCGATAGGAGAAAGGTGAACCCAGGCAGCCTGAGGCCTGGGGAAAAGCCTGCGGCAGCCTCTTGGATTTCAAAGGCCCTGCTTCCATGCAGCCCCGATCACTATATCTATTTTTTTTAATACATTTGAGTGCCTCTTTCCTGAAGGACCACACTGGAATGAAGTAGTTATCGACCAGTCGGGTGGTGTGAAGCCTACACATGGGAGGGCACCTCCTTCTACAGTGCAAATCAGCATTGATTGGCTTTAACATCTCCTCTTTGGCTTTGAGATCGGCTTCACATCTCCCGCTCAGCTCCCCAAAAAGCCAATTTCCATTACCTACCTCCTGCACATCTCCCCCTGCCTGGTGTCCCAGCCTCATTACCTCTTCTGAAGAAGGACCTGGGGAGGGGAGGCGCAGGCCGGGTTTTTTCACTCGGCGAGAAGGAGGAGATGGACGTGTCCTTCAAAGATCGAAGGTCTCCCAACTTCCCAGGTGGCGAACCCTGAGCCTGCAGAAGCGGTGCTGGGCCCCAAGCCCCGGCACCCACCGCCGGCTCTGAGGGGGCCGGGGCAGACGGCTGGGGGGGGCCGGAGGGGG